ATTTGTTCGCTAGAAAAATAAAGTGATATACTTGGGTCTCAGAACTGAACAAAAAAGCCAATTATCTACCATACAAAAGCTACTTTGTTCTTCTCAGTTATGCATGCAAGTATAAGCAAACTACTATGTACATTCTACATTTGCCAAAATACCTATATATGTAAAGTTGAAAAAAATATTCTTAATTGCTGTCACACAATTTCTTATACCACCATATTCAACGCTAAATCATTCATGCATGCATTAGAAAAAAAAAAAAAAAATCTAAAATGTAAAATTCAGAACTGAAGTAGGATTCAGACTTTACATTACTGCACTGTAACTATGCGACTATACTTGCCATCACTAATAAAATTCCTCAATTATCAAATAATATCACTGTATTCATTAAGTCTCATCTGGATATACTATTCTATCAACATATCAAGATTTTACAATAATTTATATGATATTTTCACCTAGCTTAACCCATTTACGACGGTTGTCCCAAATATGAGACACCCGTAAAATTAAACATTGCCAAGTGTCCTGCTAGTGTGACGGATCGGAGCTTGTGCTCCGATTCCATCACAGGCTGCAGCTGGCACGCGGGCAGATTCCGGGCCAGCCCTGCGTGCCGATTTTGAAGCCACCCGGTAACTATAATTTTCGGCTTCAAAATATACCGTCGTTAGTGGGTTAAAGTTTAAACAAATAAGCTTTTATTTTACATCGGATTTCAACTTTTCATTATCATACTAGACTACATGATATCCATTAGATATCTTTACATGTAATTCAAACTGCCAACTCAACAAATTTCCTCTTTCACAAGGTAGTGAAGGCATGATCATCAAATAAAAATTACTGTAAAGAAACTTTACATTTTATACTGCATGTTTTAACCCCTTGGACCCGGATGATGTTGCAGTCACGTCAAAGAAAAACTTGGGCAGCTGCCCAGATGACGTGAACATGCCATCAACTGGGCAAATTGGCCGCAGCCCGGGTGACGTGAACTGCCGTCATGAGCGAAGGCCAGGGTGAAGGAAAAGACTTGCCACAAGTGATTGTGATTTGTGGAGTGTGATTTGACTCATTTGGTGCTTAGAAGGGGGCTTTAGTATTATTCCCATCAATAAACGAAAGTAGAATGTAACGTGCGTAAGCAGTAGCTGGAAAAGTGCTGGCTCCAGGGAGGATGCCATTTCCATGATGTGCACCCTATTCCTAGCCACTGTGACCAGTGGCGCTGGTTGCATTACATAAAATTGAAAATTACAAAGAGATATATGACAACAGAACAAATGTTCCATATATTTTCTCTCTTGCACTACGTTATTTACTAAATAGAGAGATGATATGATACACAAGGAAAATAAGTAATTACCATCTGGATAAAGCAAGTCAAATGACAAATTTGGACATTGAAAATGGCGATAAAGCTAAAAAAAAGTTTACAGAAAATTACTTTTCAAAGGGGAGGCGCAGTCTCTTGTCACCTTTCATGGGTGTTTGTGTGCGCCTGGCCTATGCGTCACACGCTCGGGATATTGGCCATTTATGTTACCCACTGCCTGGAGTTTTCAGCTCCATAATTTCCATCATGCAACCGGATCCAACGGGTTAATCTAATAGTAATGGATTTTTTCAAACACAATTTAATAAATAAAGATTGTGAAATGGCAAATATTAAAAAGAAAAATACATATCCTCACACAGATGATTATGAGAAATTTGTGGGTTACTCACTGTAGAGCCATCATTTAACAAAAATTTCCAATGGAAAACTTCACAAAAGCCTTCTATGAAGATCAACTACTTTGGCAGTTAATAATTGCAAATATAACTGTCAAACTTTAAGGATTTTTTATTAGTAAACCTATGTGCTGGATTAGGGTTAACATACAAAGACAATGGTAGTGCATTATCTGAATCCTTCAAAAAAGAGAACAAATATCTAACAATGGTAAAAGTAGAAACTATGAACTGATTTTCAACATTCCAAATCAAGGTGGCCTGAACAAACTTTGCTTGAATAATAGAGATGAGAAAAAAAGCAGAATTATCATCATAACTTGAAAGTCTCAGAAAAAATTGTTGTATAAAAAAAACTGTATACACAAACATCTTGCTGCCCTCTACAATACAGATTGTGTTATCCACATTATGTGGGATCACCACCTAGCAATATCATGCAATAATCGTCTACCTAGGATTCTGAAACCTACTGAACACTAATTTCTGAAAATGAACACCATATAGGAGATGGACATTCTTCTACTACACATGCAGTAACTAACCTGCCTACTTTATCCTTACATCAACAATATAGCCAACTCTTTCCTCTGTGAACTTATTAAAGATTAGCTATATTCACAGATTGCACCTTTGTAACCTAAATGCATGTACTGTACAGTTAACAATGAGTTAATAAGGCAAGCTTCCAAACAGGAATGCAGTGACAAACAAACACACCTACACACAACTCAACAGACCTGAACCCTTACAGTGGAGCTGAGAGTGCGGGAGCCTCAGCCTTAACTTGCTGAAGTGCTAACTCTATCCTGCACATACTTGTATGTCTTACCTTATTTTGGTGTCCCCAGCCTTGCAGCTCCATATCTGTTTCTCCCCAACCAGGCCCAACTGGACCACCAGTTGGAGTCTTCGGTTTTGTTCCCCAAGATGGGGATGTGATTGGTGGTTCTCCCCAACCACCTGACTTCGGCTCCTCCCCCCACATGCCACTACCCGTATCGTGAGGGGGGTCACTCCAGCTGCCATTTCTCCTGTGAGTATTAAAGAAAATTCATAGTCATTATATGCATACTGCAACAGCAACACTCTCAGATCTTAAAGGTATCAAAATATGTTGTTCATGCTACACTTCTAAAACATATCTGAGCACTGCTGTGAATTCTACATTTCTGTTATCTAAATCTTCATATAATCTTTGACAAGGCAAGAAAATTTCCTGTAATGACTGTCCAAGGAAATCTATTTAAGGCAACCATATAAATAATCCAATATCACTTACCCATGTTGTCCCCACATGCGCTGATCTGGCTTGATTCCCGGTGGAACTGGTGGTCCTGGCATGCGGCCTTGTTGAGGCCCTGGCATGTTGGGTCTGCCCATTATGTTCGGGTTGGGCATTTCCTTCCACCGGGACACATTAGCCTGTTGCTGTGGGTTACCCCAAACGGCTGTTCCGTCATCACGCCGCTGCGTTGGTGGAGAAGGCTCCTCCCATCCACTTGGTGCACCAACTGGCCCACTTGGCTTCATATCTTTTGGACCATTCCATTGTGTTGGTCCTCCAGGACCACCAGGTGGACCACTGTGAGGAAGGTTACCATGAGGGGCCCCATGTGGGACACCATGTGGTCCATTATGTGGGCCATGAGGTCCATGGGGTCCAGTATGAGATCCACTATGAGGTCCATTATGAGGTGCACCATGAGGAGTGTTGTGAGGGCCACTATGAGGGCCAACATGATGGCCACTATGTAGACCACCATGAGATCCACTGTGAGGACCACTGTTTGGACCACTATGTGGTCCACTGTGGCTGTGAGGTCCTGCATGTGGACCAACATGTGGGCCAGGTTTGTGAGGGCCTCCTGGTCCCCAGTCGCTTGGTGGATTTTCCACACCTGACCTTTGAGGGCCATGGTCTCCCCAGCCACTTTGTGTATTTCCTCCTCCAGTACCACTGCCTCCTGCAGCCCATTCACTATTCTTCTTTGGTGGTGCCCCTCCCCCCCACATGTTGGGTGGGTTTGGAGTATTGGCACCCCACTGTGGATTATTGGAGGGAACACCGGTCCAAACATTGGATGAATCTGTGGCATCATCATCCTCACCCCAAGTTCCGCCATAGTTTGTGGCTGGAGTATGGCCCCATGGAGCCTGTTGAGTCTTTGGAGGGGCTGCACCTCCATTTCTCAAGTTATTTTCCCATAAGTCACATCCATTATTGACATTAAGTTTCAGATGAGGAGCATTAGCATCTTTGCAAGGTTCGGGCGATCCTGGAAGGTCCCACGTTGTCTCCTGGTTGACATTTTCCCCACCCCAGCCTTCACTGCTGAGCAAAGCTTCCCTGATACTCTGCAGTTGCTGCTCCATGTGACGTTTTTGAGCATCCCCCGACCCACTACCAGCTGGAAGACCTTTCCCTGCAGCTTGTGCCCAAGTATTATTACTATTGCCTCCTTGTCCGCTGTTGCCCTGTTGAGTCTGTTGTTGATTGTTGACTCCTGCTGGTCCCTGCTGCCCTCCTGTTCCTCCTGTCTGTGTGTTCTGCTGACCTGCTGGAGAACTTGGTTGCTGAGAAGGACCACTATTTTGCTGTGCTGGCTTGAGACTCCCTCCTTGTCCAGGGGATGTGTTTGGTGCTCCTCCAGCACGATTGGGAGCTCCTCCCCATTGGCCTTGTGATCCGGCCTGGTTGGCACCAGAGCTACCCCACCCAGCCGTTTGAGGGGCCGATGTGCCCCACCCATTGGCTGCACTCTCTCCCCCGCCTACGAGACCCAAGCCACGTGGAATGCCCCACCTATTAACTTTAATAAAGCCATGGGGGAAGGAAGCAAAACCAAATTTTCCAGGCTTGCCTGCAGCCTGGAATTTTGATGAAGTAGGAAATGAAGCGTATTGGTTGCAGGTTGCACTTATTTGGAGTAAGCTGGCTATAGCCTGCTTTGTCTCCTGGTTAAAGCTAGGGTTGCTACCCTGGAGTTGGCTATTGGCATTATTGTTGGCCATTGAGCCAGGAATGTTGAGACTGGCCTGTGTGTGTGCCGCAGCTTGTGCCACAGCTGCCACTGGCTGCTGGGCAGGCTGAGAGGTGTTGTGCAGCACGTGTGTGGTACATGAAGCCTCAGCCTCACCCACACAACACTGGCTTGATGCTGCTACTGTTTTCACAACACCTTGTTGGCCAGAGGGGGTGATGGGCATCCCTCTAAGAGACCCCCCCAGCCCAGGGGACCCAGGGGCAGTGGTCGAGGACG